AGGCCATGTTTCCTGACTTTGGCCCCCTCCCCTACCTTAAGGAAGTGAATCTCCTCTTTCTCTCACTAATTTACTTTCTTTAAAAACTACATTTTCCAATTAACTTCTGTGCAATTGTTTGCATCTTTCATGTAGCATCAGATCACACACCAGACACCCACATCCCGGTAGGCCTAACCTAACATTCTGGAGGCCCCACTGGGAGTGTATCCTAACATTTTTGGAAGTCCCACCGAGATCTAACAAAGGATCTCACCTGACCATCCACCGGCTTGTTCCCAAAGCAAGCAAAACCATAAGTTTTAAAATGGCTTTGGCACTCTGGAAATAGAATTGCCAGCTGGGCTCGGTGGCTCAGCTTGTAATTCCAACTCTTTGGGAGGCTGAGGTGAGTGGATTGCCTGAGCCCATGGGTTCGAGACCTCATCTCTACAATAAATCAAAAATTAGCTGGGGATGGCAGTGCGTGCCTGTAGTTCCAGCTACTTGGGAGGCTGAGGCGGAAGAATCACCGGAGCCCAGTAGGTTGAGGCTATGGTGGCTGGGAGCGACCACTGCACTCCAACCTGGGCGACAGAGTGAGACTCCAACTTAAAAAAAAAAAAAACCTGGCTTCTTTTGTACCAGGGGTATGACTACTTTAGGAAGCCCCCAACCTTCAAAGAGTCAGAGAGGGGAGGAATTCTCCAGCTTTGGGACTGAAAGGAGATATTAAAAAGTCTTAATTTGGCTTTCAGCCTAATGTACATCTAGTACAATTGATTAGGGTGCCTGTTATTTTGGGTGCTAAAGCCCACCCATGGGTGTCTGCTTGGTTCAGTCTATGCTCATCAGAATCCTGAAGTAGAGCAAGAGTGATGGGCATCCCAAACCCAATCCTAAAGCATGTTGGTGATTTAAGGAAACAAAATAATCAAGTAACATCTAAATCAAGGTTTCATGGACTTTTAAAAGGAGAAAATCAGGACAGTGGAGTCTGGCTAGTGTGGCTCCTGGCTGGAGTCAAAAGTCCCCAAATTCAAGTCAGTGCCATATTTGTCCAGGGGGACAAAGGACTGGGGGATTTCATTCTTGGTGTAAAAATGTACAACAGTTCATCAGCCATCAATGCAGATGTTAATACAGAATAAGAACATTTTCACTGCCATATTTTATAGAAGTCAGTGTTAATAATCATGATGGTAAATGGTGCTCCATCATGCTCAAAAGTGGGAAAAATCAAGTTGACAAATCAAACATAAAACATGAAGATGTCTATTATAAACCCAAATACAACATCATTTCACTAACTCAATCCACCCACATTTTCTACTACACACCATGAGTGTCAGTTTAAACTCTATCTGTGCTATAGTTTCCTCTGCACATAATTTTAAGTGCATTTTGGTTTTATAGTGTATACAAGCTATTGTTTCATCGTTTTACCTATTTAAATAAAATTATATAAAAATAATTTAGTTCAATGCTAACATTTTGAAGAAGACTGTTTAAATTTGAGGAAGAATGTTGAAGAGTTCCCATCCACTTCACACATACTCACTAGTCCTAAAAAATTCATCTATTCAGGTACCATAAGCTGAGAATCTTTGGAAATTCCAGATGAAAAACACTTCACTGTGCGAGAAATCATTCCTATTGTCATCATTCTTTGTGTGCTGCCTGAAAACAACAACACAAACTCGTCCAGAACCAAGTCTCTTTCAATAAACTAGAGGTTAACTGCCTCCCTCAATCAACAAGCACTGTTTATTTTTTAAGATCTCCCTGAAATATGAATCAAGAAGACAAAGAACACAAGCTAAACTATCAAGCCACTCCGGAAGGAAAAATATGAAGTTCCCAAATGAACGTGTTACTTGAAAATATAAACCATTTCTTCTTAGCTTGGCTCCGTCAACCATCTCGGAAAAGGATGTTTTTACAATCAGAGCAGAAATATGACTGGCGGCTCCTACATTTACATTTCTTTGTTGCAAAATGAATGTAACTTGTTCAGATTCCAACAGCGGAGAAAGCACAGAAGTAGTGGTTACTTTCCAAAGTGAAACTTAAAACCACAATCTCCGGTGCACAAAAGGCAGAATGAGTCACAGGAAGAGGCCACTTGCTTGCAAAACTCATTAAAAGCAATGCAGGGCTGAATGGACTTCCTGCACCAATGAAAAGATTGTTGGCATCAGGACAGGCACCTCGAGGCTCCAACACTTTGGAAGAGGAAGGGAGCCATTAGCAATCTGGGCACAGCTCAGGTCTGCTCCTTCACACGCACCCCCCACCCCAACACACACACACACACACACACACACACACACACACACACACACACACACTCCAGGCTGCACGCGCGCGCGCGCGCGCACACACACACACACACACACACACACACACACACACTCACACTCCAGGCTGCACGGCCTGGAATCCCCTCCCAGCCTGGGCGTGCTCACATCTGAGGTCCCTGAGAAGGCACTCAGGAAGGAGGCTTCCAGGCTGGAAGCTGTGTATTAAAGGATCACAACGACACCTTGTGACTCAAGCGAGCACCTGTATTGGGTTTCCAAGCTCATTTTCAGGAGAACCGCTGAGGCAACTCCATCTTTCCAGGAGCTTCCTTCCTGGGGCAGATCTGTGTGAGCTCCAAGCAGTGAGCACGTGCTCCGGCCAGGCCAGATTAAAGTCAGATGTGAGTTGAACAATCCAAAAGAGGCTACCTGGGAACAGGATCGGGGCCTCTGCTGTGTTTCTAAAATGCGCGCTTCTCGAACTTGAGTATACATCAGAATCCCCTGAAGGACTCATTAAAACAGATTGCTGGGCGTCACGCCCGCAGTTTGATTCAGCAGGACTGGGGTGAGGGCTCAAGAATTTGAATTTTGAACAAGCTCCCTGGTGTTAGAGCTACAGGCCAGGAAACTATACCTTGGGAACCACAAATCTAAATGGGTTTTAGACCCAAGCAAATAGCCTCAGACAGCTCCCTTTCCAGCAGCTAGTGATGTTGACCTCGGGTTGTGCCAACTGGGGGCATGTTGATACTAAAACAGTCCCCTTAAGGACCTCCCCCCTCCCCACCCTCCCACCCCCCCTTCCCACCCCCGCCCCCTCCCCACAAGTTCCATCCACAGCCTGGCTGGTCTCCAAGTCCAGCAGTATCAGGAGGGGGCCTTTGTCAAAGCAGAGGCAACGCGTTTTGTAAGGGCTGTGCTGCCAAACCCAAACCGATTGTGCCCCCAGGTGGCCATTTGGGCCCGTTGACTTCCAAGGTCAGCTTCTGTCTGCTCCTGCTCCGGTTTCCTTCTGGTACCAAGCCCCCTGCCTGGCTGGCAACAGAAGCGACACTGATCACCACCTTTGATGCAGCAGGAGTTGAAAAGGGGGTCAGAAGCAGAAAGGCAGAAAACCTACTGGCATTTTAACCACTTTCTTTGAGTTTTAGGCAGAGATGGAGCACTGTGCTGTTCTCACTTGATCTAAAGACAAAATACAGAATACAGATGTACAGAGGGGAGGCAAAAATTAGCTGGGCGTGGTGGTGTGAGCCTCGGGTGGCTGAGGCGGGAGGGTTGCTTTAGCCTGGAAGTTTGAGGATGCAGACCGTGTCTCCCAAAAATAATTTTTTGAAGGGGAAGGCAGAAGGGACATGAGGGATGAGATGGGACAAAGCTTTTCTGGAACAGTAGGTTGGGATGCAGTATATCTAGATTCTACGAGCTTGCTTTTTTTATTTTTATTTTGGGGTTGGAGTCTCACTCTGTCACCCAGGCTGGAGTGCAGTGGCACGCTCATGGCCATTGCAGCCCCGACCTGCTGGGCTTACGCAATCCTTCCGCCTAAGCCTTCCAAGTAGCTGGAACTACAGATGCATACCACCATGCCCGACTAGGTTTTTAATGCTTTAAGACAAAGCCTACTTAACCTTCTCCCAAGACAGTTTCCCATCCCCTCCAGGACAGTTCCAGGACTGCGGTAGGGCCGTATGCATTCTCTTTTCTGGAAAGAGCACTTTGAGGCCCAACACTGATACTCAATGGCTCCACAGTCAATGTGTCTTGGCCTCTGATGCAAGGGTGCTGGTGTGTCAGTGTTTGAAAACCAAGTGTTAAAGTACTTTCAACATTCAGGCAATTACAGCTGAGACACTGGGGAAATTCAAGTTACCGAGCTTGTTTCCCTGGCTCACACGAGTGTTGCCCAGAGCTGCATCAGCATGTGGGAATCGACAGGCTGCAGACGCCAGTCCAGATGAATATTTATTTTACAGATAAAAAAGCCCACACACTGAAATCAGAGTTGGAACAAATTCAGGTGTGTTTTGTTTTCTACAATGCAATAGCATCAATTCTGTGGACACCCAGAGACGAACTGTTTGGATCTAGGCTTCTCAACAACTTCAGTCTAGCATCTTGGGAAGCTATGTTTCAAACATCTAGGGACCGATACTCTTTCATTTATTCCAGAAGGGCTTAGGCTGATGCAAATAAATCAACAGGAAATCTCTGTCCATGCCAGTGACATGCAAAGTCAACAGGAATTATGACTAATGATTGAACTAATCAAGTTGACTGAGTCATTCAAAATGAAAAACGAATCTGGGATACACCAGAGAAGAAGCCAAAAGTCCAAAAACGAGACCAGCAGATGTGAGGCAGGGGAACTCCCCCAGGTCAAACATCAATTCTGGGTCAGGCTGTGGGAAGCACTTCTGGAACAACATCTAGAACCTCTCTTTGCTCTTGAAACCCCCCACCCGGACAGGAAGCAGTTCCAGGTACAGGCTTCTCCTCTCTTCCTCATCCCTCCTGGCTCTCCCAAGTGCACAGAGAGGGTTGGTCTTTCACCCATTTAAATCTAAAACATCTGAAAATATATTTATTCCAAATAGTGAACAGTTCATCACCTTAAAGAATTTTTGAGTAGAGAATAAAATAATGTGCTCGGTAACACACACCAGAAAACAACTTAATAACTTACCAAAAACTATTTAAAATTCATGTGCCTGATTTTCAGAGAAGTCTTTCATTGGTCTCATTTATTACAATATTTTCTAGCTTTGCTCCAGTGCAACACAAAAAAGTATTACAGTGATTTTTATCATTGCATTAGCATATACAAATGCAAATCAAATGTTATAAATAGAATATATTTAAAGTGGTGATCTGAACCTAAAATCAAAAAGGGAATTCTCTTTGAAGGTATAATCATGTTTCTCCAATACACCAGATACAGATTTTTCTTGATGCCAGATATATATATTTGTCTTCATCACATGTGATGAACATTTGATGACTTGTCACTGTGGTATGATTCATTTATTTCCAGAGGGCAATTTTGAAATGCCTGGTCCAAATGCAACATTCTAGCATCACTGGGCCACAGTTGTGTACATAAACAGATAAACCAACCTGCACATGCATGAGTGCAGCCCATATACAAATCTCCTTTTCAGAAGAAAAAAAAGGCAGGTGTTTATATTACAGCCTTGCCAGGGCTCACGCTGAACTTGAACTTAACACAGATCTGAGAGTACAACTTTGCCGGAAGGCATGGTCTGTTTCAGGATGCAGTGATGTGGAAGTTTAAGACACACCAAAGAAGGGGTCACAAACTGCATGTCCTCAAGTCTCATCCTGAGAGTGTGCTGCAGAGGGCAATGTGGCCACTAACAATTCAAGAGAACAAGTCCAGAGGAGTGAGTTAAGGCAGGATTATTTTCAATTATTCGTAATGGCTCTGAAAAGGAATCTGAGCATGCATGTCCATGTTTCTATGTACGTCTGCAGTCAAGGACAGATGTGCATTTGCCTTTCTCTGCATATCCACAGGAACCACTCAGCAAAGGCTCTCACTGCGAGCAAAGCCCACCAACTACAACGAAGGCAACAACTCTGTGGGTTTTCTTTCACAGAAAGAGTAAAATTTCATTCACCTGTTCCTTTTTTTTTTTTTTTTGCCTATGACTCTAACAATGAATTTAAATAGCAGTGTTTCAATCATTGAGATCAAACTCTTTAAAAAAATAATACTTCAAAAATTAAAGCAAAATATTTTACCAAAATAATTCTTTCACTTTTCAAACTGTTCTCTTCACAAGACAATTTAATAAACAAGTAAAAGAATCACCTTCTATTGGCTTAAAGAATGTCACTCAAGTTATTACTTTTTCACTTGCTCTTAATTTGAGTGGAAAACTAAGGAAAATAAAGAAGGTCTGTCTACAAGATATACAGAATAAGGCTCTTCAGATAGTCTAATATATGTGTCTTTTTAATATATTAATGACGTCTGTATAGAAAGAATATGCCGAAATGCTTATAACAGTAACCTAATTAGAGTAAAACAATAAATAATAACTACAAAGAATATAATTTAACTTCTTGAAACTATTTCCTTAAAATCAACCAGTTTCTTTGGACAGCTCCCAATAAAAGTCGACATCATTATCATTTGGCGTAAGCTCATTTAAGTCCATATCATCAGCACCATCTTGCTGGATGAAAGGATGCTGGCAGAGTGTCGAAAGGACTCAAAAATACTGCCTTAGTAATCTTCATTATAATTTTAATTTAAGGCATTGCCGAGAACGAGATACAGCGCATCTAAATAAAATGTCTGCCACAGATGCATTAAGGCAGAATATTCCAGCCTTAAACCACAAGAAATGGGAGAAGATATGCCAATTAAATATTATTTAGGCTATTTTGAACCAAAAGAACTAAAGAAAAACTTATCACCTAAAAATGAGACTCATCAGCAAATACCATAAGGGAACACCCACAATGCCAAGGCTAAAAAGCCAAGGCCTAGAACTGGTGAGGTTTGGATGCCCTTCAGAGACCTCAGATTCAGGTCATGTGATCCTTCTCAGCCCTCCCCACTGTGTGCAGAAGAAGGTGGCACTAGCATTGCTATAATGGAAATGTGCCCTCTACTCTGCCAAAAACCATGTACTTCTGGCGTTCCTCAATTGACACTGTCATCAGCGGGGACAGCCCTTGGATAGCCACCTTCTGCTTAGGTATCCTAAGCCCACATTACACATGAACCAATAAGTAATTGCTGGAGCAGGCTAGGAATGCAGCATTGTAACTGGCATTAAGCCACAACCCCACAGTCGAGGGATGCTTTCCACACTATAAATGCACCCAATTCCTTGCCCATAAAGCATACCCTTCCTATTTCCCTCAGAAATGTCATCCCTGGGACAGGGCAAGGGAGAAATCCTTCTCGATTCATTCTGCTCTTAAGCAAATGACCAAATGACCGCACATCAGGCTCCCTAGCCACAGCTGCACAGCTCCCAGAACCGATCCTTTAATGGCGACGCCCAGCTCTGCACTGCCGTCAAGAAGTTGCTTGGTACATCTTATGCCGAGGCAGAGTGAACGTCCTGGTTTTCAAAAGGTGGTGGTGGCTCTCTCCAAAAAGTGAAATTACTGAAGGTATCCGAACAGGGGAAGTCTGAAGAATGGCTTCTTTTCAGCAATGGGAAAACATGGTCAACCACTTCACAGAGCCTCACATACCTGGAAGGGAAACAGACACCATTACTGTCACAGAGAGAGACACCCAGTCACACTGAACGCTGGCTACACAACAAGGGTTGCACTTTAGATCTACAGCCCTCAGCAGCCAACCACCTCCTTACGTGACTGAGATAATTCTAGAATGATTTATAGTTCATTGAAAATGGGAGACAAGAATGAAGAGTATGCAAAGGAAGAGTCAGAGAAGGCTCTGACTTGGTGTGAAGGACAGGTGAAGGGGAGAAAGCAAAGGACCACAGGAGACAGGAGGAAGTCAGCATGGTGAAGGGACAACCGTCTGCTGTGGAAGTCACAGAGGAGATCAAATGGAAGGAATCTCAAACAAGGCATTCTTTGGAGTACCACACAGATATTCCTTCAGTGTACAAGGAAAAGACACTGGGCCCTGGGGTTAAGGAAACACAGATTTGAATTTCAGTTCTGCCATTTGCTAACTGTGTGACCTTGGGCAAATGGCTTTTACCTCTCTAAGCCACAATTTCCTTCTCTGTAAGGAGAGGAAATTTAAAACTGCCACAGTGTAAATATGAGGATTCAATAAAATAATGTATGCAACAGCAAAGTAATGTACAATGAGTGCTCAAATGTATTCAACAACAAACTATTATCATGTCTTAGGAAAAAAAAAAAGCCCTGGTTGGCAAGAAGGCCAAGAGACATGGGATCTAATCCTACCTTACTTGCTGTGTAACCTGGGACAAGTGTCTTATCCTCTCTGGGCCTCAGGCCCTTCATCTTTATAGTGTAGAGTTGGATTAGAGCAGGGTTTCTCAATGTCCCCTACAACATTGTCTCACTGTGTCTCCTATGTATTCCCAGAGATGTTGCATATTAGTTCCCGTGGCCTGTACTCCAAAAAGAAAGTTGCTGTAGTAAACATCCAAGTTCAGATCTCCAGGGATTCTAATATACCCAGCCCTCTCCCAGTCATCCCCAGTTTCCTCCTTGATAGTCACTGGTCTCTCTCCAGTTCCAATTTGCTAAGAATCCACAAGGGCTTTCAAAATCCAAACTCCAGGAGTTAGCATGTTCTGAGGCATAAAATCACTTATTAAATAAGGATGAGTGGGTGTATTTAATGAGGGGCCCCCAGAGGACTTATGAGAAACAGTACACTTACCCAAAATGGGCAAAATGTCTCTTAACAGAAAACCAAGAATTATGTCTTTCCTGAGGACTAAAACAAACAAATTTTTAAAATACCTCCTGGCTTTTAGGCTTATATGTCTGAGGTCCGTGGCTGGGGAAAGAGTGCCCCTCCCCACAGGGAGCAGTTCCCTGCCAGACTGTGGTGGACACTACAACCAAATCTGCTCTCATGTGCCGAGTGGCAGGGCCAAGTTTCACCCATGTCCCTCCCTTGGACTCGCCCTCCACACGCAGGGATCCCCGAGCAGGAAGAGCTTATGCATGGATGCTCACAAACGCACTGATGCTCACAAATGCACGGATGCTCACAAACGCAAAGCTTCCCTCATCCATCTGAACACATTTCAGATGACTGACCCAAGTTCCAAGAGATAAGCACCTACTTGGCTTAGAAACGATTGTCCCAAGTTCAGTGCCAGAGAAATGATGTTCCCAGGGAAGGAAAGTTAATTCCCACCGGGTGTAAAATGACAACATTCTTTGGCAATGTGTCAAGTCTGCTCCCAGCAGGGGTCTGCCCTAGGCCAAGCCATGGGCAAAGCATGCATTTTAACCCCAGTGTCTCCAAGAATGAAATGGCCTCAGAGGCCACCTGAGAAAACCCTCTTGGATGCCTGAATACCTCTTTCCATACACCTCACAGCAAGACCTGCAACTTTCCCATTTCTGGGCAATGTCCCATTGGTTGAAAGTTCTTTTTGATCCCAAACAGAAATCCACTAGATCCCCTCTAGACTGGGGAAATCCTTCCACATGGGAACGCGATGCACTTGGGATGAGGGAGAAGAGGAACAACATTGTCAGGTGTGGCCATTTAGAACAAGGAAGAGGGTAGAAACTGCAGGGAAAGAGTTAAGAAAGGAATCAAGTTCGTGTTGTTTTTCTGCCAATCAGGAAACAACTGGACACCTAGACTGACTCACCTGCTGCAGGATGGAGCCGAGTCTTGGTTCCATCCTCCCCTCTCTCCCCACATACCTTGAGGACTGCTTGGGTACCGGCATGACTGTGGAGTCAGGAGGCTGTGGGACAACCCAGGACTCCTTTTAACCTAGAACTGTCTTATCTATACTCAGTGAGAATCTAACCGAATAAGGATCATCTTGAAAGTGAAAATCTGCCCTACAGGGGACTTCGATTTCTAATCTATCTAAAACCACAGGAGGAAGTACCTAGAAGAGACCAATCCACAAGAATCCACTAGAACCAAAGCCTCACTTTAAATTCTCTAGATAAAGAGGGCCTCATCAAGTTCTCTGGGGCCACTCAGGTCAGACCAGGAAAGAGGTGCAGCCTCTGAAATGAATAAGGCAGGAAGACAATCGTCTGCCTAGACTGAAGTCACCCTTGGACCAAGCTCCTCAAAACATGGAATGAGGAAGTGTTTTCCATTCTAACAAGACAGGAACCCAAAATGAGACATCATAATATCAAGAGTGATTATACAGCAAACTAGGATCCCTCCTTAAAAACAGTATTCCAATTTAGCCCACTGACTCAGGAAAACTGTGTCTTGACCGAAAATATGAGGGAAGTTCTTAACAATCAAACAGCAATGTTTCTGGTGAGAAACATTCAGTACGTGAAAAGATATATAGCTCGTCATCTTTAAATATAGCATCACATATTTCAATTTGGTTACATTTCTAATTCACATTCTAGGCTTTCACACCTAACTTGGAAACCTAAACTGCTAGTTTTTGAATTCATTCAATTCCAGTCTATAGCAGAATCTAGCCACTAGTTTAAATTTCAGACCGAGTGATTTGACTTAATTCCAATTGTCTAAAAATGAAGTTTTAGACAAAACACAAAGAGTTAGAATATATGTTTTCTTTATAGGAATTAAAGATCAAAATATATGCAGCAAAGGATAAAAAGGTAAACTATAAAGTCTGCAGCACCATTTTACTGATACAACAATAATCACATAAGATGTGCACGTTTACTCACGATGAGATGTTGGTCTTTGCATGTTCCTGCACTAGTTCTCCTTTCGGGTTGACAGTAAATATTCTATTCAAGGACACTCCTACTTGCTTGTATGAATATACATCCTATATTTGGAAAAAGATATTTAAAGTGTTCATTAGAATAAAAAGAGTTCATTGTATAAACAAGTACATGATATTTCTAACTTGATGTACTATTATCAAAATTTCATAAACCAGAGCTAAACCTCAAGTAGTGTGGCATATCCTTTGATGGGAAACTATTCAATTAGTTTTCCTCTCTGGGTTCTCAATTCCCTTATCTATTCAGGAACTCAGTTAAAGAATAGACAACCTATCACGTCCCCTGCAATTCTAACATTCCTTAAGGTTATTCTCTGACCTATTTTCTCATTTCATGAAAATCTGTCATGATTTTCAAAAGTAGGAGAAGTTTCTGAGTGAGCAGTTAGTACCTAACTATATTCTCCAAAATATTTTAACTTCCCAGTAAATTTGGGCAGTACATGAAAAATCTCAGAGCACTTCTTTCACCATGAGACAATACTATACTCTTAAAACTTGAGATAAATTTGCTGTCATGGTTATGATTGACTTTGTGGTTCCTCCCTTCTGGTAGAAAGGATCTAATCCTATTAAATGTTCTTGTTTTACTAATTTAACAAGTAATCTGGAATTTGGAATTTCAAGTCCCACATCTCAAGCTTCAACCCACTAGCCAACCTTCAAAGAACACCAGAAGCCATGAAATAATTTTTAATCTCTTGGCTTTTAGATGTGGGCAAGTGGCTATTTACCAAGCTATTTCTCAGAGGAAGACAATCTGGCTTTCCATGTAATTCTAGGCCAGGGCTTTCAGATGATTGCAATCAGAAGAGATAGTAAGTTCAAGAGTTCTTATATACCCAATCGACTACTTACAGCTGGTCGATTTCCAAAAGCAGCATAAAAGGGTTCTGTATTTGGGAAAAACAGGTTTTTGATGTCTGTCAAACACTGTACTTTAAACTTTTCTGGTTTCTTTTCAATCACTTCTCTGTTAAAACAAACAAATAAATAATAGATTAGTGTGAGAGGATAAGCTTCCTCAGCATCAAATTATTTTTAGCTGTCAATGCTGCCACGACACTAAGAACACTTTCCTATCTTCAAAAGTTTAATATGTGTAAGTCAGTTAAGACATCCCAGAAGGGCACTAGACAGAAGGTAAATCCATACTTTTCAAGTCTTTCCACAAAGAAAACACTAGGGATGAATCATTTCACCAAAGAGTTCTACAGGTCATCTAAGGAAAAAAGGATTACAGAATATAAAATAGGAGCACATCCTCAAACTCATCTTACGAAGCCAGCATAACCTCAAAAACAAAACCTAAAGAAGAAAAGGAATGAGCAAAGCGTGGGCCAATGTCATATGTGAACGTGAAAGCAAAAATGTACATATGTGCAAATTGTTGCAGTGTACAAAATTTGATGCTATTCCAGGGATGTAAGATTTGATGTTATTCCAGGGATGTAATTTAATATTTAAAATCAATTAACATAATACAATACATTATCAAATTAAAATAAAAAAACGTGATCATCTCAATAAATACAAAAAAGGCATTTGATGCAATTCAGCATCTAACCAGGATGAAAACTCTTAAACTGGAAATAGAAGGGAATACTCAAAAACCTACAGTAAACATCCTATTAACAGTGAAATAATGGTGTCTCTATCACCATTTCAGTTCAGTGCTGTACTGCTAGTCCTATCCAGTGCAATACCATAAGAAAAAGTTATAAGGATTAGAAAGAATGGGGGGTGGGATTGTCATTATCACAAAAAAACCACTATCCACATGAAAGAAAGCAAAGGACCTGCAATGAATTATCAGCATTAATAAGAATGTAGTAAGGCTAATAAGTCAATGTACAGAGAAAAATAATGTGCAAAAACCAGTTGCATTTTAAGGCAGAAAGAGGAATTGTGTAAATGGTATTTAAAATAGAATTTTAAATTATCAAATGTCTAGGAATAAACCTAACAGAAGATGTGCCAGATCTTCATAGCTAAAATTACAAAATTTATTGAACTATATTAAGGAAGACCTAAATAAATGAAGAAATAAACCATATTCTTGAATCATAAGATTCAATTTTATCATGGGATATTAATTCTCCCTAAATTGATCTGCAATGTTAAGCAAACTCATGACAGATTTTTGTATGTTTTTATAGAACTTGATTGTAAAAACTACACAGACAAGCAGGAGGCCAGGCCTAGTCAGGGTACTTCTGAGAATAGGAAGGCAAGGAGCTTCTAAAGCTACAGTAGCTGAAACACTGTGGTTCTGGCAATTCTGTCTAGCCCTTTGCCAAAGGAACAAACAGAAACAATATTTGCAGCACATATCCATGGATGCTTGATTTATGACCAAAATGCCACCTCAAAGCAACTAGGAAAGGACAGTTTTTTCAGTAAGTGGTGCTGGGACAAGTAAGTATCCATATGGGAAAAAATAAAATTAATTTGGACCCCCTACTTCACTCTACCTAAATCAATCAATTCTCAGTGGATTACAGACCTAAATGTGAATGGCAACACCTTTAGATAAAAATACAGGAAGACTGTCTTTATGCCTACAGGTCAGAGAAGACTGTGTTAATGCACAAAAAACACAGACTACGAAGGAAATGATATGTTCAACTACATGAAATTAGGAACTTAGGTTCATCAAAATCTACAAACTGGGAACTATTTGCAGCAGTCTTTAAAAAGGCTAAGTATACAGAATATACAATATACTCTTCCAAATCCAAAAGAAAATGGGAGAAAGACTCAAAGGCAATTCACAGAAGAGAAAGTTCAAATGGCCAATAAAAAATACAAAAAGAGACATTTCAAACCCACCAGATAAGCAAAAATGTAAAGATCTGGCAATGTGTTGGCAAAAGAGTGGAGTAAATGGAACACTTATAAACTGTTGTTGGGTGCCACTACCCTGGAAAACAGTTTGGAATGACCTAATAAAGCCAAATATGTGCATACTATACAGCCCAGCAATTCCACTCCTAAGAATATACTTTAGAGCAACTATGGCACATGTGCCCCGAGATGACACACACAAGCACAGCTTTTATTTATTTATTTATTTATTTATTTTTGAGTTGGAGTCTCACTCTGTCACCCATACTGGAATGCAGTGGCCACTCCCGGCCACCGCAGCCTCGACCTGCTGGGCTCCGGTGATCCTTCTGCCTCAGCCTTCCTTGTAGCCGGAATTACAGGCATGCGCAACCACGCCCGGCTGATTTTTTGATTTATTGTAGAGATGAGGTCTCGCTGCCCAGGCGGGTCTCGAACCCGCGGGCTCAGGCAATCTACTCACCTCAGCCTCCCAAAGGCGCGGGATTACAGGCTGAGCCACCGAGCCCGGCTAAGCACAGCTTTTAAAAGCAAAGAACTAGAAATGACTCAAGCATCTATCAACAGTAGAATGGATAAATAAACCAGCAGATCATATGACCAGATACTTGCCACATAGAAGAAAAAAAAAATGAATCTTTGTCTTGCAGCTACACTCAACAATCTTGGGAACATAAAATTGATTTTTTTTGAGTCGGAGTCCCACTCTGTTGCTCAGACTGGAGTGCAATAGCATGCTCATGGCCACCGCAGGAGTCAAGTGATCCATCCACCTCAGTCCTCCAAGTAGCTGGAATCACAGGTGTGTGCCACCATGCCCAGCTAATTTTTTTGATTTATTGCAGAGATGAGGTCTCACCAAGTTGCCCAAGCTGGTCTTGAATCCCAGGGCTCAGATAATCCACTTGCCTCCACCACCCAAAGTGCTGGGATAACAGGTATGAACCATTGTGCCCAGCATATAACACCGATTTTTTAAAAAAGCAAGTTCCAGAAGAACATATGATATTTTATTTATATAAAACTCACAAATGTATACAATTAAGCATACTGGTTAAGATAACAAATATATGTGACAAAACCATTAAGAAAAGGAAGACATGACTAATAGAAAACTCAGGGATAACAGTTACTCTTGGGGAAGGGGATGAGACCAGTCAGGGAATTCAGATGAAATGGTGTATGGCCCCTTTTCCTTAACTGGGTGGTGGGTACCCTGGTGTTCACTGTTTGATTATCCTTGATACTGTGCATGTATTTTAGAAATATCATTTTGTACCTACTTAAAAATGTCATTTAGAAGATGATGATGATGTATTATCAAACTGAGTGCCAAAAGACCCAAGGATTGGCCCCGGCTCTGCACTGACTTCTGTGAGTTCCAGGGTCCTCATTAACACTAAAATGGAGGTCTTGCATTCTACATCTCAGTATCCTTATAGACAGACACATGAGAGATTGCATGATTACGTCTCAAACTTCAATACACTGGGGAAACCACCCAAATTCAACCCCCTGCTTCAGTCTCTCTCCCTCTTCCTCCACATGCACACACGCACTGTGGCAGATGTCCACACACATATATGCAGGGTCAGTGGTGCACAGTAAGAAAACTCCTCCCCGGTCTCAGGCTACCCAGCGCTTTTGAAGGTGCACCACTCTTCACTGGGTATTAAGGATAGCTAGGGAGGAGGTCACAAGGGCGTCTGAGAACTGTTGTGGCAAGCAGTAGACACTGCTCCTTGGGATAATCTATCTCTTTGATTATCTGAATTTGCAAACAGCCACAGGTCACTCACCTCACCCTAGAGGTGATTTTACTCTTGCAAACCAGATTTATTTGTCCAAGTCTCACAGCAGCTCAGAAACCCCAAAGAAAACAAACACGTTATTTGTGGAATAACTCCCTCTCTTCCAGAGATAAAGGCCAGCCTCTGTTGTTGCCTCACTCCAGAAGTTCAACTCTGCCCAGTAACCCAGAGCCAAGGGAGTTAGCAAGGGCAGATTTGTCCAGTTCTGCCCATCAGCTCAACTCATCAGCGAGACACATCGCCCCCCCCCAGTAGACTTAATGTACACTGTACTAATAAAGGGCTTATAAAAACCTGATTAGCTCTGCCTTTACAACCAAACAGGGTAGGTAATAAAAAGCATCACATGCTGGGCATGGTGGCTCATGTCTATCATTCCAGCACTTTGGGAGGCCAAGGTGAAAGGATTGTCTAATCCCACGGGTTCGAGACCAGCCTGGGCAATTTGGCGAGCCCTCATCTCTACATTTGAGATCAGCCTTGGCAATTTGGCAAGATCTCATCTCTACAATAAATCAAAAAGTTAGCCAGGCATGGTACCGTGTGCCTATAGTTCCAGCTACTTGGAAGGCTGAGGCGGAAGGATCGCCTGAACCCAGCAGACCGAGGCGCTAGTGGCCGTGAGTCTGCCACTGCACTCCAGCCTGGGTGACAGAGTGAGGCTACAACTCAAAAAAAAAAAAGCCATCACATGACTCAACTCCCATCTCTACCTTAATAGAAACAGCTCTTGGACCAGAGCAGGTATGTGAAATAGATCCTCTCAACTTCTTTTTTCAGATATTCTTCCTAGAATCACAGCATTCCGGAGTTGAAGAGAACCCTTGAGAACATCTAATCCAACCTTCTCATGTGGCAGTTGAGAAAAGAGCCTCAGGAAGTGGGGGGGGGGGGGGGAA